GCCTTCTACCCTCCGGGGACGGTAAATTGGTACCAGATTCGTCTGGGAGGATAAAACACTGACTTGTACATCGGCTGGCCACCGCAAGTCATTGTATAGGCCACATCGCATTCAATAAGCCACTACGATTCTGAATGGAAGTAGAATGCGTGCCGCATCCCACAAAGGGATTGATCAACGGCGAAGACTTTATCCTTTATCCTTTATAGCTTTCGGGAAAGAATCCTCTCCCATGTTTGGGAAGTGCATCACAGAGAAGGTATAGTTCCTTTAAGAAAGCGTAGATCGGCATGTTGCTGGAGAGGGAAGTGTCGTTTGGCACGTTCATATTAGAATAACGTGTTTTGACAGGTATTGATACGCCCCTACCAATTTGATAACTTGAACGAATCATTGGACCAAAAGGTTTTCGCAATTTGTAGTCTGCCGAAAGCCGTGGCTGTGATCTATAGTGTCCATGATTCTCAGCCAAGCCTCCTTCTGATGATCACTTAGGTAAAGAACTAATTTGGAAGTATGGGCGAGTTGTCTCATCTGGAAGTTGTGCGCCTAACACGTTCTGACGGGTAAATGAGAGAAAGCCCGGTGTTCCAGTCGACAAGTTGGCAATGGTTGGGGGATGCCCCGCCCATTGCCGCGCTCCGCGGAGCGGCGGGTTACCCCTTGCCCGTCTCCCTCCTGTTGGGTGTGGCGGAGACTTCGCGGCAGGGCACAGCATTCGATGGGGATTTTGGTCGAGCCTGTACAACCCCCCCTTTTTGGGGGTTCGGTACGACCCTCCCTTCGGTAACGGAACCCCTATACATAATCTTATGAAGTTTCTTGCCCCCGCCCCCCGCCGAGGGGAAGAACTTCATAGTTTATGTATAAGTATACGAAAATGGGATAAGTAACAGTCCTGAATGAGCCCCTCTGCTTTTTTGCTGTTTCGTATCACCACACGATTCAGAGAAGAGAATAGAAAAGAAAGGCCATTAGGTTCCACCCACATTCCTCGTGTCAAAACAAACTCTGGTACCTAAATCAATTGCAATTAAAGAAAAAAAAACAGGAAATTAAGCCAATTCCTCCTAAGAGCACTCTGAGCGGTCCAAGCAAAATTGCTGGGGCGCGCGCTGAGACGTGTATCGAGTGAAGCTGAGAATAAATATTCGATATTGAGTAAACCGAGAAGAAGATGAATATCGATATTGCGAATAACCGAAGAAAAAGCCTGTAATACGAAGAGTAAATTACGTAACAGAGAGCAACCAGACGAGGGTCAACCAGCTGATGGAGGCCGAGGGTACCGGAGAAGGTGTGGCAGGACCAGCCATGTGGAACGCGAGTTTTCAACGAACTGGGGTGTCTTTGATGGACCATAACTTCCTCAAAAGCGGACCTGTGGGGAAGAGGAGACCGTATTCGTGTAGAGGAAGGTTTGCACTTCCTAAAAGTACTGAAACGTTTATGAAGGTCGCAAAAATCACAGAGAAATCTGCCATAGGGATTCGTTGGGGAGTGATTTCAACTGAACAGGTTTGAATCAATATATTTTTTTTTAACTCAACATTTCACAAATCTGAGAACGGTTTCGAGTGTTTGAAGATTTTCTCTTTCTAAAAACCTCTTGGACTGTTTCTGAAGTTCTCGGTCATGAGATCCTCGATGATTGGGGATTTACTTGGGAACACTCCAACCGTGCCGCGAAAAAACCGCGTTTCACTGTATCACGGTTTCGAAGTGAGAGTGGTTAGATATAAAGAGGAACGCGATTGAAAAACGTCATCCTTGTGTGGAGGCGAGGCAGGAGATATGCGTTCGTTTAGTCGCGCGGATCACGCTGACTTTGGATGCGCCGGTGCACTGAGGGTCCGCGCAGAAGTGATGGGATGGTGTAACTTGTGCGTAATGTCTGTCCATGCGAGCAAATGTGTCTATAGGGTTTAGGGAAAGTCCATGGCGAGCCTGTGCACTTGTTTACAGTGTTTTCCGTTGCGTAGGTGGAACTGTCCCTTCGGAGCTGCAGACTTCCGTCGCTCCCGCCAATTGGCTAGATCCCGATAAAGGAGAACCACCTGCTGAAAACGTCCTGTATCAACCATATGGTGTCGTCCTTGTCGGAAAAAAAACAAGTCTGGCTCAGCGCAAGCGCGACCGGGACCACGGCCATAATTCACTCTTGGCACCAAACCAGGGTTTGACCGTCTGTATCTGTTTATCCTCAACAGCTTAGGAGATGATGTCGACTTATAAATTTGCAGTTATTTCGGCAGTTAGTGTTGACTATTGAAGTTCGATTACCTTTTTAGGCATATCGAGTCTCTACAAAGCAAGTTCTTGCTGTAACAGAGGACTGAGCACATTGACAATTTGCGCTGCTCGTTACTGGCTGCCGCACTCACTACGACCCCCCCCCTCTCCTGGCGGCCAAATACGACCCCCTGTTGGGGATTCCCCAAATTCCAAACGGGTCCTGCTACCGTGGTCCAGCTCACCGTGGGAGCCCCTTCCACACCCAAGCGTTCCTGCGCGTACCCACGGCTCTACCTGCTTATCCAAGCGGGCGGCAGGGCGGTGAAACGTATCATGCGGGTAGTGCCGGAGGTGGCATAACATAGAAATCAAACGCCCTCAGACTTCGGAAACTAAACCAGGCTCGCTGACTACGGTAAAAGCGATTATCGGACCCAGAAATCTTTGTCCTTGGTAAAGAACAGCAGATGCTAGCTGAGCTGATGGAGAGAAGCATTCGTTGACTTAATAGAGTGAGCAATCGAAACAGTGGAGTATCGAGGGAAAAATTCCTTTTTCTACAATGCTATAAAACGCGACACGAAATAATCGAACCGTTTGTGATTCTTTCTCCACTATTACGTGAAAAATGATTACGTAAAAAATCTACCTGTTTAGAACCTTTTCGTTCTTGTTTTCAGATCCCGCAAAATATAGGTCTTTTTCGATTTATGTGCTATTCTTAACTACTTAATTAATCTGCTAAGCAGTCAGCGCTTGGATACTCTCTTGAAAAAGGCTTCCGTGATTGAAATCTAACCCGAAATCGTGGAAACAGACCCTACCCCTTCATGACCGAGGGATAGAGGGACGGAACGTGTCAAAATGATTTCAGCACCTCCAGCATAAGCATCTTCGAGAAACTTCACACCGTCCTGCACAACTGTGTGGTGAGTTTTCGAGTTGACGACTCCGAACCATTTCGTTGCTAACTGCACCACTACTGGTTCTATTTCGACAGCTGTTATATTAACCTTAATGAAATATGTAGGTAATAAAAACAAAGTTACTCAGTAAGGAAAATTGGGGTTTGTTCTTTCACGTTATGAAAAGAAAGGACAAACTAATAACTGTACTGAGAGCCATTACATCGGGGTTTATTTTATGTAGCCCCATATTAAAGCTTCCACCGCCGAGACCAATTGCCAGCACTTGTTTCGCTCTGCTGGCTGTGCTTAAAGAAAGGGACGACATCACGAATGTGGCAGCTACCATGCCGGCAATCTAAAAAATTTGTCCTTAGCGATCGTAACATTCAATTTTTCAGTGCAGATATTTCTGGGATCAGCGTACCCTCGAGAAACTGGGAGGCAA